ATACTAGGCAGGCCACCATAGCTCCCAGATTAGCAAGGAGTGGGGACAGATGGGAGAAAAAAATGCTGTCTGGATATGTGTTAAACTTCTAAGAAGCAGTTTCATGATTAGGGTTGTTTATATTTTTATGAAAAATAATCTTAGTGACTAAATTTAGAAAAGGGGATGTACCAACTAGGCAAGCAAAGGGGAGGAAAATAGGTAAGTTAATTTCAAGAAATGTCAAGTTTTGGCAGATATTAGACTTTGTCCTTCACCCCTCCTAGTTCCTGCCCCCAACCCATGGCAATACAAAAAATAAAAAACCTCAAACAACACTTAGTTCTGAACAAATCCTGACTTGGGGGAAAGCTTGACCTTGCTTTTGGTTCAAGGAGTGCTTTTATGTAGCAAGTTTTGCAGCTCTTAGAATGAGCCAAAAATGCGGGGGGTGGGGAAACAGCTCAGTGGAATAGAGCACTTGTCTTACATGTGCAGGGTCCTAGGTTCCATCCCAGAACCCTTAAAAAAATGTTCATATAAATATAGACATTTATAGGGAAAAAGAAAAACCAATAATGCAAGATAGAAAATAACTGTCAGCATAGATTTCCTTGGTAGGTTATATAATTGTGTCTAGCCTTTGAAGGGCTCTGGCTCTGACCTTTACAAGGGCAGTGACCAACTTACAGCCTTAGTGGCCTTGTGTCCAGACAGCAAAATAAAATCCTATAATGGAAGATTTCAACGGCAAATGACAAGGGAGCAGTCTTAAAAAATTTGAAAGCAATTTTTTTTTTTAAAGAAACATAGCTAGTAGTATTTTGAGAATTTTTTTCATCTGGGTATTTTATATTCATGGACACACTTTAAAAATTTGTTCAGTTAGGTGAATTGGATAACATTGTCTATAAAGTTCTGTAAACTTAACACCTTTTTATCTCAGGACCTTGTTTAATTGGCTCCATTGCACAAAAACAAAGTATAGCACCTTTTAAGCTTATTGGCATACACTTGGATAAAGGCTTAATTGTAGAACTGAG